TGATACTCTAATGAACGTTATCTAAGATGAAGTGATAATGGTGTGATGCTAATATTAAAAAATTATAGTTAATCATAATTGTCCAATTTTCATTAAGAAAAAAGCATTTAAAATTTATCACTATCAATCAGCAAATACAATATTTGTGAGATAATTTATATTTATAAAAGTGAAAAAGATATATCTTTTCTTTTATATTTATACATATATATAATATACATTGGCAAAAAATGTCTAATATTTTTAAAAATTGTACAAAGATAAAATTTATAAATGACATTATTCATAAAATATAATAGTTGTGAAAAAATTTATTTCAGTTAGTATTAATATTCCTAAAAAATATTTGTTATACATACTTCTATGAAACATTAAATATTGATAAGTAATAATAAATTATTTAAGAAATTTGCAATCTTGTACATACCTACGTCCACGCGACGCTCCAACAGCTCTGGATGGATGCGGTATCCGTCTAACGCCGTGTCTACTTGCAGTTGGTTCATCCAGGAAAGAAATCAGGTCCCTTGGCCCACTGCGATGTTCTAGTGTCAGATGGCCAGCGAAATCATCAGTTACATGATTAGGCTCTCCACCTGGCACTGCTGCGCATACTGGACAAACCTGTGACAAAAATATACAAGTTATACACCCATAATATATAATTACTATGTGTTATAATCTTTATATACGTACAACTTCGAATGAAGTATCCGGATGATCAGCAGCAACGTGTTCTTGTAATGTAGCCTCAGTAAAACCCATTTTTGTACAATAGGGACAAGTCAAGGATTGAGGCTGTTCCACACTCACTCCTTCACCACCATAGTATAATTCTATTCAAAAAGTTAATCATTTACAAATGGATTAACAAATATTTAATATAGTAAAATCTTCCATCTATAAATTATTTAATTGTTATTACGCAATTATAATACTTTAGAATACAAAAAAAAAATTATCTAATCAACTAGAAGCCTGATTTGCAAAAAAAATTAATTACTTTTCTTGTATTTATTAATTAAGTATAAGAGCATTTTTGGTATTAAAATAAATATCTTTTTTCTTCGTACACTTTGTATGTAAAATAAACGTAAAATGTGTTAAAATATATAAAATTTATATATATATATATTACATTATAATCCTCTAATAACAAGGTCGGGATCAGAGATGATCCACGGTTTCGTCAGTAAAGAAATTTATTTTATTGCAATTATTTAAAGTCAATTAATAAACTTTACTGTATTCATCTATAAATAAAAGAAGTTTTATGTGCAGTTATTTACTCTTTTTACGCATTTTGTATATTGATTAAATGAAAGACCGAATCCGGATCCGACTCCACCCTGTCGGATACGTTCTGAAGATGCACCTTGTCATTAAAGAGTTAAATTCGAACCTTACCAAAGTCAGATCTAGTAAGTATGCATTGCATAGGATGATCTGTGAGGTGGCGAGTAGTATTGGCGCCTCCCTCGTAGCAGCTGGCACATAGATCATAATCGTAGCATACGAGGCACTTGTATCTACGACCCCGAAAATTTCCTTTCAAGCAGGAATCACAGCTAACCCCTAAAACGAAAATGTTCAATATGTGTAAATGCAAAAATATTTTAAAAACTATTACACATCACATACATATAAATTTTTAATTTTTCAATATTTTAACTATTTCTAATTCGTTATTATAATTTATTTATACATTTATTGTTCTATATTAATAAATGTGTTACAATAACTAATTAGCCAAAAAGTAAAAAAAATTAACTTTTACTTTTCAATTATTTTTATTAATGTTACTTTAACATTATTTTATGTTTTGTTATATCTTAACATTATATTTTAACATTACACTTAATACAATAAGCTTTCAATAATGCATCAAATTATAAATAAAATTATAATAAGCATGTACATAAAGGTAAATTATGATTTAACATATATTATCAATGTCCTTTCAGTCTTATATAACAATTTTATTGTCTTTTCTTAGTCTTGAAAAAACTAAAGAATAATATATCAACATAACTAATATCAAATAATTTTAAATATCAAAATAAGAATGAATTATATATAAAGCAGAGGAATTAAATCAACTTTATACTATTCAATATATTAAAATTAATTTAAATTTCAAAATACTATCTTTTAACTATATTTGTTGCATACATGCATTAACTCTCCCTCCCTCCCTCCTCCCCCCCTCCCCCAATTATATTTTTAAAAAGAGAATGACGCAGAATATATGTAAATGAAAGAGACAGAAGGTTAAATAAGAGAAAGAAAGAACGATACTTGCATATTACTTAAAAAAGTGATTAATAAATGACTTCAAGAAAATCTGTGTGTGCACATTTTTGTACAAATTTTAAACATCCCAGGTCTCATAATATACAGTAACGTGTAGCAATGGATTAATTAAAATAATATTTCTTATATTGTATTTAAAACTCTTTTTTCAACAAAGTTTATTCCACGATTACGTTATGTGAAACAGAAACCTAAAGAATACTTTTAACTTGCCAATAAGGAATTACTGCTACTATGTCCAAAGTCGGATGACTATACAACTATAAATAGTAATATGCAGTAAATACGAGTCACTGTCTTGCAACAATAGAAAACAAGATTTAGAACAGTATATGTTACTTGAGTACAATAAACACAATGGAAAGCAAGATTTAGAACAGTATGTTACTTGAGTACAATAAACACAAAATAATAATTGATGAATGTTTCATGAAAAGATATACTTGTCACGCATTTATCAACTGAACACAAAAAATTTATAAATACTGTACTGAGCTTAGAATAAAACATTAAACTAGAAATTCACGATACATAATAAACTAAAATTTCTAACTGGTACTTATCAACTTGATTTATCATCTTTATACCAGACATGATAATTATGTAACATAATGTATCTCCTGTTCCGAAAAAAATATAAATTCTACTCAAGAAGCATATAGATTCTCCTGTGTTATACATGCTACTAAATAGATTATGAAGCTTAATTCCGTTTATTAAAATCTCAAAGGCCAGAGGCTAAAGAGCAATGTGGCTCATAATATAATTTTTATAGCACACATTAAGCAGCGATGCTGTGATCTCGAGAGGACAGCAGACAAGGTTCGTCCGAGAGCACGGGTCGCTATGCAAAATTTGTATTGACCATCTGTACAATCAATTTCGTGCGGAAGGATCGCGATAATATAGGAAAAAGGCTGCAATATGTTCTGCAAGAAGGGAAGACTCATCAGGAGAACGGGCTGGGAGGTAAGAGACCGTGGTGAAAAGGGAGTCAGCTGAGGTGGTAGGACGGTCTGACAGTTGACGGTACGTGGTGATCAACTGATCGGGCGATAGGTCAAAGCGAAAGGAAACTGAATATCGTTGCGGATCCCCGGGGATTTGACGGGAAAAGGTCGAAAATCCGTAGAAATTGTCGTGAATTTTCACCGTGTGCTGCCATCTGGCCTCTGACATTAGGCCCGTTCGGCCACGGGAGCTCGCGGGACGTGTCCCGTGTTAAAAGGATATCCCCCGCGGCTC